ATATTTTTAGTAACTGATGCGTTTACTAAATTTGTGAAATTATTCCCTACTAAAACTACCAACAGTAATGAAGTCATTAAACATCTAAAGATGTATTTTAATTGTTACAGTCGACCTATTAGGATTATCTCAGATAGAGTTTGTGCTTTTACTTCAGCTTTATTTAAAGATTTTATGAATGAAAATAACATTCAACTTATTCATATTGCTACGGGTACACCTAGGGCCAATGGGCAAGCTAAGAGGGTGAACCGTACAATTATCCCTATGATAGCCAAACTAGCACCAACCATATCACAATGGGATAAAACCTTAATTGACATTGGATATGTAGTGAACAATACTGTTAACCGTTCTACCAATCAAGCACCTGCAATGTTATTATACGGTGTTAAACAATTAGGTAGACCTAATGATAAAATTAAAATGTACTTAGACTCTTGTATACAAAGTATTGATAGGGATTTAGTTRAACTAAGACAAGAAGCTGCTAATCAAATAAATAAAGTGCAATTACAGAACAAAACTAATTATGATACAAAACATAAACAACCAACAAATTACATTGAAGGGGACTTACTATTAATAAGAAACTATGATGTAACTATTGGGACTAATAAACAACTAGTACCTAAATTTAAAGGTCCTTATTTAGTAAAAAAAAACCTTACCCAATGATAGATTTGTAATTACTGACATACCAGGTTTTCAGCAAACACAAAGACCTTATGCAGGAATTATTTCTATAGGAAACATAAGGATGTGGCAAACTGGCCTTGATTGTTGACAAAGCGAATCACTATTTGTTACTGTAATATTGTAAAAATATAGTATGTTAACACTTCCATGGTTATTCAAGTATGATTTTATTTTTTCTCTAATCATTATGTTAATTAAGACTACGCACTTATGAATTTATTATGTTATTAAGATGTTATGCATTTATGAATTTATTATGCTATTAAGATCATTATGTTATGCATTTATGAATTTATTATGCTATTAAGATCATTATGTTATGCACTTATGAATTTATTATGTTATTTCTGATCATTATGTTATGTACTCTATCTGCTACTATTTTTATATTATTATTAAAATATGTTATCTATGATGGTTGAGGGTAACCCTAAGTCAGGATGGACGAGTTGTGGGCATACTGTGGTCGGTAGTGTGCAGTACTATTGGTAACACTGCCTGTTTCGCCAACACCGGACTTACCTTAGTTGGCTCGTGAACGGCGATGACTCGTGCTCCGATAGGGAAAGGGGGAGGAATACAAATAGTATATATATATAAATAAATAACGCAACAATTCAATAATAATATACAAAAATATGTCGTGTTCATAAAAAGACAAGTAACTCGTACGAGTATCTAACAATATAACTAACAGACCATCTGTCCTTTATAAATTATAATTGTAAATAATGTTACTAAAAAAGAATGGTACCTTTAAGGAGCGGAATTAGGAACTCACTAAATTTCTTTCTTCTGATTGACCGGAGCTGGCAATATCAATGTTCAACGAACCGGAACTGGTCGTATCCCAGGCGATCGGAGCTAATCAAGCCGGATCTGGCGAATGTCAAGTCAACAACAACGGTTTATCGACAACACAAAAAACTCGCCTCTTCCAGCAGACGAAATGCACTTTGCAGGAACGGCAAAAAAGTATTCTCACGTGGTTTTTCGGGTTTTTAATTTCCAAGACAACGACCCGAAAACAGATGTCGTGACTCGTGAGCAAAAAATACGGTAATGACAATACACGGAGAAGAAGGTGGCGGATAACGCAGCGGTGAGCTCGCGGCGTCGCAGGCTTGTCAACTGCCGCACGTTCCAGCTGAACGGCGGCGCTTGATTCCTCAACCAAGGGGGTGCCCGTTATCGCTTATCATAACTCATAACTTGCGTGAACATACTCCCCCCTTGGGAGACGTGGTCTCACAAAACTGCAACCGGTAATTCTTCGTCGTGGTGTAGATGGCTGGTATGGTGGCGTCCAGAAAAGGAAATGGATAAAAACAAGGATTCCCTAGTTACATTTTTTTTTTTTAAATATAATGAACAAACATATCAAATAATAGAGAATACGATAGAACAGGCATATCAGATACAAAAACAACTAATATTATATAACAAATTGATAACATGATAATAATAGATAACTACAATATARTAATAAATACAACATCCCCTCATCTTACCAGACCGAATCACCGGCGCCCATACACCGGTAACAGAGCGCGTCRGAGCTGACTTAAGGTGTGGATGAACAAAAGGGGTAAACTGTACATAGATGCCCTCATAACTACAAGTCATTAAGGGAACCCGTTGTATATGTCCTTGGTGGGGGTGTCAGGCAAACGTCAAAACCCGGGGTTATCCTCGGTTATCGATTGTTCTTCGTTTGTTCCGAAAATTTCGTCGTTGGATCCATCATCACCTAGTTAGCTGATTGACCGTGGAAATAACCTAAATGTCACTCCTCTAGTATGATGTAAGTACCTCCCCTCATTTTTACTTAGTATAGTAATTGAAATGAAAATTTTTTGTTAAATAGGAAAATGATAAAAATGTAACTCAGTTGCAATGAGTAGATGGATAATTAAGCTAGCTTTAACATAAAATATTAATGAGAGAAATCCGTTATTACACCCAAGCGGTATAACAATATGAATCAACAAAAACGTCGGTGTGAACAGTCCCAACATTTCTATTTTTTAACTTTTTTCAATTATTATAGCTAAAAAGTTGGTTAATAGCTCGTTAAAAAGGAATTATCAAGTTGGTACAAAATGTGAAATTATAAACATTTTCAAAAAAAAAATATTTAATTTAGGTTTTATTTAGCTAGGTTTTCATTTAGCGTGGTAGATTACCGAAACTGGAGAACAGATTTTGTTATTTGGGGTCTTGTCAGATTCACATTGGTTAGGAAAAATGCTGTAAAGATTTTCAGAACTTTAACTTCAATCGTTAACTCATTACAAAAGCTATCAAGTTGAAAAATATAAAAAAAA